ACTTTGCCAGTAGAAAAAACTGCATTCCACAGTTACTATTAAAACCTTGATAATAACTGATATATTTTGCTAACGTTCTCGATGTACGTTAAGGTTTTTGGCGATATATTTTTGTTTTTTTTTTTCATATTAATAACAATTATAATAATAATCAATTACATAACACCAAATCAATAATTATATCGAACAGTGTGAACAAATTTCACATGGGTCATAGATTGTCAATTTAACATGATTTAAAAGCTACAAAATAATGTTCTATGTGGAGGGAGTGTGACAAGCTAATGAAATAGAAATAATATGTTTATCAAATAAACTATAAATAATTTTTAGTCAGGAGGGTCTTAAATTTTATCACCTACTACTTTTGAATTATTCTCTAAGTTTATAACAGGAAAAGCTTATAATATTTTTGAAAAACCTCTTATATGAATTATAATGATTTTGATATCTTATTATTGCATGTGAAGGTTTAAACCACTTGTATAAAGAAAATTTTACAAAAATGTGACACAATATGTCTGGATAGATATTTTTATTTTCGTTTATATAGCATAAAAGTTTTTCTGTAAAAAAGTTTCACTTTTAACTCTCGTAATACAATCTTCAAAATAAATACATTGCGTAAAGATCCTGTAAAAATTTGGGTTTTTTGTGTCTTGTATTAATATTTATTGCCTGATTCTTCAACCGGGGAAATCTTTAGATTCCATACATTGTAAATGTATGCATGCCAAACGCATTTCGGTTATTCCAGAAATCGTTCTACGTAAAATATGACTATTTCACCGCCAAACCAATAAATTTCTTGCAATCTTAACCCGACACTCAAACCGTTTGTATTTTCCCAAAAATTTGTTTAAACGCTTCCACGCATTTGTATATATTAAAGTAATAAATCTCGCTAAACAGCCATCGTTTTCTTTATTACAATCTGCCAATATTTTGATAGGTTTCAACTAAAAACTAAAAATATCGGTGGCTCAAGTGTGGATACTATTTTTAATTCAATATTTATATTACAATTAAACGGTGTATTTGCGATTAGGAAAGTCCACATTTGAAAAAGTTTTCTAGTGCAGCTTTGGTGGTTGTTTTAGTAGATTATTTGCAATTTGCAACAATCTGTAGAAAAAATGTCACTTTTATCTTGTCCAATTTGGTTTAATGATCACTCTTTTATTAAGGAATTTTATCTATTTGTAAAATTATTTTTATTTTTAATATAAAAAATTCTGTTATAAGCTTAGATTCTTTATTTTATCCACTAAGCACATTGATACACAACAATAACACCATACTACATGTGTTCTCTAATATCTTATCCAGGCACTGACTTTATTTTTGTGATAAAAAATTAGATTTTAATAAAGAAAAATTTATGTATTATATCAAGTAGCCAAGTTCATTAGGTTTGTCATAAATAGGTTGTAAAAATTCCAGCCTGTCTTTTATTTCAATCGTTTTTTGGCTATTTTCCATAAAATATTTCAATGCATTTAAATATTGATCTAGTATTTATAGCAACAATTTGCCAGATGTCCTTCAAGGTGTATTTCAGAAGTATTGACTAGTTGGTAATACTTTGAACTGATATTTGGTTCTAAATGCAGTTTGCATGAAAAATCATGAACACTTTTAGATTTTTATAAAACAGCTGAATGATTTTGATACTATTTGAACAGTATTTTTAAACTTGAAATTATTCGAAATTGCTCCCCTTTTATTGATCGTGTTCTCTAACTGTATATATAGGCCATAATAGGTGCATTAGAAAATAATTGAAAAAACAAACTAAGAAATAGAACGAGTTAATTATGACGTGGTGTTAATAATGGAGACACGATATGCCCAAAATTGATATTGATGATGTATTTATGATAGACGAAATCAAATCTAAAATTAATACCTGAAAAACTAAATCGCAATGCTGAAAGAAAGCAGACAAAATAAACCAAATCTCTGAACTAAAAAGAAGGGCTTATAATTCTAACAACTAAATGCATGACAATACCACTGAATAAAATTCATTGGAAAGACTAGGGAGACACATGCCTAAAAATGGATTTAATAAAGTATTAAAGTTAATTAACAGTTATGTATATACACCGTTAACAGTCCTTTTAGGCCCATAGCTGTAGGATAATTTCCATCGTTTTATGTTCTTAGCTATTAGCTTCCAATCTCTGAGTTCCATCTCTATGACATCTTTCATCACTACATCTCTCCATGTCTTTCTTGGTCTTCCTCTTTTTTGTTTTGCCCTCAGGTACTCTCCAAGCAATATTCTTAACTAGTCTATTACCTTGTATTCTTCCTAGATGTCCCAGTCATTCTAGTCTACGTTTTTTTACCACGTTAGTTATTGCAGCGTATAGCATTGTGGGCCTAATTATAGTTTTTTATACTCTTATTTTTGTATTACGAGATATATCTTTGACCTTAATTATTTTGCTCATGGCTCCAGCACATCTGTTGCTCTTATTCATCCACCTTATGGAATTCTACAACTGATCCATCATCCTCCTTCAATTTAAAGGATCCCTTGGTGTTTATTCCTTTTTTGCTCGATTTCCATGTACTTCGATTTATTAATATTAACTTTCAGTCCCATTTGAGTCTTTTTGCTATATTTGCCAGTTTTTTTCCATTTCTTGCAATGAGTACCACATCATCAGAGTATGCTAAGCATTGGTGCTCCTTGTATAAAATAGTGACGGACCTATTTATCCCACTAACCCTTACAATTTTTTCTTGAACTATATTGAATAGAAATGTAGACAACGGGTATCCTTGGCGAATACCTTTTTCACTTTGAATTCTTATGAGACTGTACCGTTGGATTTCACACTATAAATGGTTTGTTTAATTGCCATTTTTACCAATATTACTATTTTCCGGCAGTTGGAATTCTTTTAGTGTTTCTATTAATTTGTTTCTGTCTATTTTATCGTAGGTTGCTTTGTAACCAATGAAAAGTACTTGCTGAAATGTTATATTCATAGCAATTGATCAGGATTTGTTTTAGCATAAAAATTTGATCGGTTGTTCATTTTCTATTTCCGAAATCTTTCCTGGTATTCTCCTAGATGTAGGTTTATTTAGGCCTCTTCTACATATTTTAAGTTCTCTGTCACAATGCCTCTCCGAGAGACTTTTTGATTTTTCACATCTTTTACTGTTTCTTTAGTTTCTTCTCTTGTGGGCTTTGGTATTTTTCTATTACTATTTGAAGTTGAGAAATATTAAAATTAAAAGTTATAGCGTTTTTAATATTTTTCATTTCAATGGACGACATAGATCGTAAATAAATAATAACAAACATTACTCCTTCATATGATATCATTTATTATATTTTATCCTACTGTTGTATATCCAACTGATTTTTATCTCTGCAATATGTTAATTTTCTCACGATTTTCCATCCGTCAACTGTAATAGTATAAGATGCTTTTCTTTATTTATTATTAGCTGTTTCACCACTCATCTGGAATATTATTGAATAACTTTATTTGCTAATTTTCATCCATTTTGCGACAACTTTTCTATCTCTTTCTTTTCTTATTTTTGTACGTTTGATACAAAAAATTTAGATATTTTTTTATATTCTAAATAATGCTAAAAAACTGTTAAAGAACATCATCAACGTCTTATTCAAAAGATACTCAAACTATGTTTGAACAGAAAGGTTCGAAATATTATCAACAGGTATGAAAGGGCATTAGGTATTCACGTGAATTGTAAATAAACGTTTGTAATATATGTAGATGTTTCAATAATTATTATAAATATTAGCGTAAGTTGCGTCTGTATATTATTTATTTAAAAATTATGAAAATATAGGTACCTGTGAATTTACATAAAGTGTTTTATTTTTCACCCCATTGTAACGTAGCTGGATGAAAAATATACATATGTGTATCTATATTCAATAACTAAAAATTAACAGAAAACCAAAAAAAATACTCTCTCAAATATAACTATTATTCAAAACATTTTTTTTTATTTTTTTTGCTAAATTTCTAATCAAGTCATAAATGCATCTTTTTTGTTACCTTACTTGGTGTTTTTAAATCTTCTATTGATTTCATTTTTCGCACCCATTTTAATGCCTTTTAAAAGTCTATATATCAAACATATTCACCCATACTTTATTACTATTTTTAAAAAAATATAAACTTTCAAAATCAAAAAGCTTGTTATGAAAAATTAAAATACACTGTCCAAAGTGACATTTTAATGATATGCAAACTATTCAACCCTTTAAATTTTTGTAACAAAATTTCTTTGTTCAAATTGTATAAAAATCTTAAATATTAATTAAATTAATAATTCAATGAGATACAACCATACCTGCAAATATGCCTCCACTTTTCCTACCTAGGCTCAATAATAAATGACAACAACAACATCAGTCAAGAAATACAAGCACTGATTCTTAGCGATATTAAGTGATTTTATGCATACAAAGACTTAATGAAAAGTAAGTAACTGAATCGTGAGTCTAAGCTTAGAATCTATAAAACAGTAATTAGACCAGTGGTCACATATGGATGTGAAACGTGGACCCTCTCAACCACTGATGAAAATTAACTGAGAATATTTGTGCGCAAAATACTAAGGAAGAAATTTGGACCAACCCAATGCAGCGATGGTTCGTGGAGAATTAAAATGAACCACGAGCAGGATGAACTAATGCATAGCGCAGATATTGTTAGATTTGTAAACTTACAAAGACTAACTTGGCTTGGTCATCTAGAAAGAATGCCAGATAATCAAGCTGTAAAAGTAGTCCAGAGATGGAAGCCTCAAGGAAACGGAACAAGAGGAAGGCACCGCAAAAGATGGATAGACGATGTAGACAGGGATCTTAAAACCACGAACATCAGTCAGTGGCGAAGGAAAGTATCCGACAGGGCAAAATGGAAGAACATTATTACGCAGGCCAAGACTCACAAAGGGTTGTGGCGCCATTAGAAGAAGAAGAAGACTTCACTGATATGTTGATAAAATTTATTCAAAAATATCTAGTATACATTTGTTTACTATAACCCAGATCTGTTAATTGTTTTCCCAAAGCTTGAAGCATCGGCCAAGGTCCCGATAGCAAATTTAACGATTCTGGACCTGGTGGAAAAAGATGATCTCTCAGCATATCTTTTGAAACGAACCCTTTGCCGAATCGCCAGTCTAAAATAAAATGTGTGATAAGTGATAAAATAGGTTTTTATTGGATAAGAAAAAATTACCAGGAGGAGGTTCTTCTAGCGTGTGCCAGATTTTCAACCGACCCTCCATTTTTTTAGCCATGTCGTTTAATTCTTCTTTGCAAATAATGTCTGCTTCTGTTTTGGAAGCATAGATGAGGGTACAGTATATGTGGTCTTCAGGATCGATTATTATTGTCCGCAACATTTGTATTACAGGAGTAATTCCAATTCCACCTGCAGAAATATTGATAATTAGAGGTCGTAAGAGGTAGAGGTATTTTGACATACCGAGTTGCTTTCCTCACAAAAAAGGGAAAGGTGGAAAGAGATTTTCTTTAAATGATTAATATAATAATCAAGAAAGACAACAATAATAAATTGATATAGGAAATGCACAGCAGGAGACTCATTAAAGAGTTTTATGTAACAATAGTGCATTGAAATGTTTAGATGACTATCTAGAAGAAATTATTTAAAAGTTGAATGTTGGGAAAAGGAAAAGTTAAATTGAGAAGTAAAAATCATTCTTACTCGACTGATACAACACTTCCGGCATGGACTTCCACACTGAGCTAGTAATTGCTGATCATCCATTAGACGAAGTGTCGTTTAAACTATCTAGAAGAGATTCACGCAAGTTTCGATAAATATATCACACAAAACATTGATACATAAGACAAGAAATGACACACTGATAAAACACTGTTAAGATGGACGAAACAGGAATAAGGAAATAAGGACATAATCTTCATAATTGTAAAGATATAGATATAGATTTACCACGATGATCAACAAGCTCTAATGAAGAAGAATGACACTTTAAGACGAAGAAGATAATAGGTAGAATAAATTGAAAAAGTATGGTAGAAACTAAGTTGCTAGCGTGACAGAAAATTAGGAATCCAATTAAACGCTAGAATAAAAACCACCACGGATTTGCATTGGCAGGAAATTCAATAGTGATGGTGTAATAGTCATCCCATGACAATAACAAGTCTGGATGATGCCAAGACATCATCAAAGATTAAATTAAAAAGAAAAATCAGCATCATCGAAAACTTTTGTGAAATGATAGAGACACCTTAAAAATAAATGAGCAATAGACAAAATTGAATATAGAAGTAAAAAGGAAATAATAGTGCATGGAAGGGAAAATAATATACAAACAAAATATTAGGACACTAAAAATTCCTTACCTACGATAAATCCAAGTTTCTTGGTGTTTACTTCAGCTGTCCCACTTTTATGTGTTATATAGAGTCTACCTCCTCCCATATAAATAACTTTACCAGAAGGATTAGATACTTTAATTACATCGCCAATTTTCAGACTCTCCAAATGCTGTGACATTTTACCACCAGCCGGATATTTCGGGTCTTCGTTTTTAAAATAAATCTAAGAAGAATAAATGGGTCTCTGAAATATTTGTTGCTTATAGTGATCTAGATGCAAGAATTGGGTAACTCGTTTTTGCAAATGTAAGAACTAATAAATTTTAGTAATTTTTGTGCATATAGTAAGCGATAAAATGCACTAACATATCGGCTCTACTATGTAACTCTTATAACGCCTCTAATAACATTTTAGTTACATTGAAATAACATCAATCGTTAAAAAAAATTGACCATTTGGGATGTATGAATTATTTTTGATCCAAATTTCTATCCTTTTGTACGATTATAATCCACCGAATTTAAAATGCAAATTAATTGTTACTTTTGAGAATGACAATACGTTCTCTACAGTTTCTCTACAGGAAAATGTTTAAAGTAAGTTCAGCTTCTTCTTCCTCTTAACATGTCATACACCAAAGTGCGTAGGCGACTTTACTCATTATCTCATTACTAGAATTCTGTTCTTGGCAGTGTGACACAGCTCGCCTGTATTGTGTATTCCTGTCCATTCTTTAATATTCCTTAACTAGGATAATTGGTTGCGGCCGGCTCCTCTCCTACCTTCGATCTTCCCTTGTAGGATTAACTGTGGTATTTTATATTTTGCTCCTCTCAATATGTGCCCAAGGTAACCAATCTTGCGTTTTTTAATTCATTCAAAGAGTTCTCTTTCCACGCCGGCACTATTAAGGACGTCATCGTTTCGAACTCTATCCACCCAAGGTATGCGTATCATTCTTCTCAATGATCACATTTCAAATGCTTCAAGTTTGTTGATAGATGTTTTTTTCAAAGTCCACGTTTTCATGCCATAAAGCAAGATGGACCATATGTAGCACTTGACCATTCTGTAGCGTATTTCGAAATTTAGGTTTTGATTACATAGGAGCGGTCTGAATTTCACAAAAGCTTGTCTTGCCATTTGTATTCGGGTTTTTTATCTCGTGTTGTGGATCCAATTGGTCATTGATTGTGGTGCCAAGGTATTTAAAAGTTTTCACGCATTTTATACGATCGTCACCTATGCATATTATGGGCCCGCGTAGCGCAAGCGGTAGTGTGCTTGCCTCGCATGCCGGTGGTCGTGAGTTCGAATCCTACCGCCGGCAAGAACAACTAGGCATTTTTAAAAATGTCTATAGGCCCCAGGTCGACTCAGCCTGAATAAAATGAGTACCTTGGGTAAAACCAGGGGTAATAATAGGCGGTTGAAGCGTAGCACTGGCCATGTTACCTTCCTTGTATACCGTAGGCCCTAGATATAGCAGACTACCCTGCTATACTCCCAAAGCCGCGTGCGGTATAAAACGGGAGACTATTATTATTACCTATGCATATTATCAGGTTTTCTGGAGGGTTTCTGCTAATGACCATATATTTCGTTTTCAAAATGTTGATTTTGAGGCCATATTTTTTACCTATGCTATTCACCCTATCAAGTAATAACTGCTGATCTTCCAAATTATCAGTTAGAATCACTGTGTCGTCCGCATAGCGTAGGTTGCAAATTGGTATGCCGTTCACCTTAATGCCTAATTCCGTGTCTTCTAATGCTTCCGCAAATATATTTTCAACATATAAATTAAAAAGCATCGGAGAGAGTATGCAGCCTTGGCGGACACCTTTCCGGATTTCAAATTCATCCGTATATTGGTCTTGATCAATCCTCACCTTTGTCATTTGGTTCCAGTATAGATTCTGAATAATTCTGATCTACTTCTGGTCAATGTTGGCCCTGTGTAGTAGTTCCATCATGATATCATGTTTAACATTGTCAAATGTCTTCTCGTAGTCGATGAAGGTGAGGTAATCTTTTCGTTAATCTGAGCAGTTTTGTATTAAGGTGTTCAAACATAAAATTTCCTCTCTTGTTCCTAGTCCTCCCTTAAAACCGAATTGTCTTGATCCGCTAAGTTCTTCTAGTATCTTGTACATTCTTGAGTGTAATATCCTAAGGAAGAGTTTCAGCAAGTGACTCATTAAACTGATTAAGTGGTGTTCACTGCATTTTGTGGCATTAGCTGTTTTTGGGATCATCACAAAGGATGACTGCAGCCATTCTCGCGGAATGTAACCAGTATCATAAATTCTATTGAACAGCTTTACCAGGATTTCGATATTCTCCTCGTCTAGTAGTTTTATTGCTTCTATATTAATTTCATCTGGACCTCTTGGTTCAAGACTACAAATAGAGTTCGACCAAATGAATAATTGGACAAAAAAAGAAAAGGCAAAACTCCCCGGTTGTATATAATAAAAGTTAAAACTTTTGAGATACCTAATCTTCCCATGCAAGCAATTTGATGAGCAAGCGAGGTGTATTGATTCGTGTTATCAGGAACCACTCCACCACGCTCTAATGTTTCAAGCTATCTCTGATGCGCGATAGGAGCATAAACTATCAGCCAAATGCTTTTCGTGTGGAAGTCTTGGGTACAACAACTCCAACACGATATTCTAACCCGATTAATGCAGTCTAGCGTGACTTTTCCTGCTTTCTCTAGTAACGTATTATCGAACTGAAACTGCTTGCTTGGACCTCGAGTCTCCGCTTTGGGATGCGCCAGTTCGGCGACTCTGTGCCCGAGAATGAGGGCCCATCGTATCCAGATTTTGAGGTGTTGTTAATCTTTTGGATGGTTGTCGCTATTTTGTTAGTATTTTTTAATTTTTTTGGTGGCCAAAGCTTTTATTTATTTATTATTATTTTTTCTTTGAAGGTTGTCCTGAAAATAAACATCAATTATTAAAATTTCTAGTGCTGCGTGCTGGGACTTCTGTTGGTAGAGCTACGAATTATCTAGACTTTTGCTGGATTTGCTAGGATTTGCTGTTTTGGTCTTTTGTGCTTCCATCGATAGAACGCATCATATCGTAATCTCTCGTAGGCTCGGGCTTGGGTGATTTTCTAATTCTGTAAAGCTAATTCTGGCTATTTCTGCCATTTTATCTATTTGTTGCAGTTCTCTAAACAGAAAGAGTTCAGCGCCGTATCTGGGTACATTTGCCGCTTCTCTGGATGTTATTGTGGGCTGTTTGTATTTTCTTTTTATTTGAATTGCTTATGTTTTCCCATGCGAGAGATGCATATTTTGTTATTAACCTAACCTAACCTAATCTATGCATTAAGATGGCGATATAATCTTCCTTACCTTTATCATAAATTCCGCATAACCTCTTGTAGAACAAATTGATGTTGGTGTATAAGTTCTTGAAACAGTTTCTCCTCCAATATTGGCATAAAATGAACAGTGTTGTCCACAAGAATGGCCTAAAATAATCGTTCTAATTCACAATCTGTTAGATTAGCTGAAAACTCACATTTGTAAATATAAAGTTAGATGAAATCTACAGAAACATCAAGTAGAGTACATCAACTCTAATAAACAGAAAAGACGGTAGGAAATGTAATAGAGGTATGAGCGAAGGGGAGAAGAGTATGCGGTTTTATTACAAATAAAATTTATATGGCGTATAAACAGACAGAGAAAGAACAACCTGAAAAATACAGAAATAAACAAGCGATTGAGAGAAGAATTGAATAGAGAATTCCTAGAGCAGAGAGAGGAAACAGTAGAAGAGGAATGGAATAAGATTGAGAGGTTAAAATGAAAAACGGTTAACGTGTGATATTAAAAAACATCAAAGGAAAGCTTCGGTTTGATGAAGAATGTAAAGAGAAATAGACCTAAGTCGCAGTTGCTTGGATTCAAAAACATCGATAGGGAGGTAAAGTTTAAAATATATAAATCCTTGATACGACTAATAGCCACATATGGCGCAGAAACGTGGATCATGATGGAAAAAACAATATACTTTATGAGTATTCTTAAAAAAAGATATTGACGAGTATAGTCGACCAGGATAACATTTGCGACAATGTTATGTGGAGAATAAGGTTCAACTTCGAGTTAAATCAATTTTACAAAGAACCCTCTATAGCAAAATATGCAAAAATACAAAAATTCCGCCTTAAATTATCACCTTAAAAGAATGGATAATAATAGAACATCTATTAGAACTATTCGTGAAACTAAGATGGGACATCAGCCAGCGGAAACACCATGGAAGATAGGGATAGACAAAGTTGAAACCGATGCAAGAGATATATTGAGGGTGGATAACTGGAGGAAGACGAAGACAAAGAAACAGATATTAATACGTGGATACTGGGGGAGGTTAGGACCCGACATAAATGTTACACCATAAGAAAAGAGGGAATGGTTAATGCCAGAAAAACAACTCGTTCAATAACACACTACAAAAGATTATGAGAAAAAGTTTGTGAATTTGTATAATAAAAACTAATACCTAATACCATGTCATCTTCGGGTAGCTTAAAAGTAAAAATCCTTACATTATGATTCGCATTAACTTTTTTATATAACGTCAAGTTATATTTTACCTTTGGATCTACTAACAATCTTTTTACTGAACCTGAAAAGTAATATATACTTGTGTGAAAGTTAATAAACCTGGTAACTATAATTTGATATATTTGGTACATACTTTATTTAATGTCATCTATTTTTTCTAATTGTTAAAGTTTGGTAAGCTGTAGAAATAATATCATGTTTTTAGTCATGAAAAAAAAAAACACTAGCCAAAAAAATTAAGTACATTTCGCTATTGTCTTATATAAAAGTCGTAAGACTAATAAAAATACTAAATATATCTATTGAATGTTTAATAAGAAAACATATCGCTTATAAGGATCAAATTTAATCGAATGATACTTTTAAATTGAACAGGAAAAGCTCAGAATAATAAAGACAGGTGTCTGAATGAAAAATTTAATAAGGACATTCTTTTAGCTTATTATACGATAATTATATTTTTTAATTTGAGAAGAAAACCATAGATAATTATTTTATTTCGAATGTGATTAATGACGTTATGCTACCCCAACAGTGAAAACGACTACGAAGAGTTAAAAATGTTTAAAAATCTGCGAATAATATTAGCAGATGAAAAAATCTTTGAAAAATTAGGCTACCGCAGACAAAAATTGTTCATTTTTCTTTAAGGTTTTCTTAAAAACATATACGTGTTGAAATAGTCGACAATTTTCCAAGGATTGTTCCTTACAAAAACTTAAGTTCATTTTGAACAATTATTCAGTTTTAGGTGCCACATCCGTAATCTGGATGTAGCACCTAAAACTTATGGAAGAAACTGTGAGAGGGAGAATTGGAATATATAAAACTGTGAAAACCAAAAATGTGAAAAAACTTATGGTTAGAAAAAGTTATGCAAACCAAATTTGATACAAAACTCAAAACTGTTTTCTGTTATGTGGATTATTATTCATTGTCTATATTAATAAAACATCCTACACTTTCATACTCGAATAATTTCTGCACAAATCACTAATTTTTCTCAATTTCCTACATAACATTGTAAATATTCATATGTTGACAAAAACTGACAATTTGATAGTTTTTTTTTGGCAGTTGGTTGTCAAAAATTTCATTTGACTTATACCAATTTACTGATTTTCTTGTGGATGTTTCAAATTGATAATGGTGGTATGTAGATGATCTTGGACATCAACTACAAAGAAGTAACTCACTACCATTTCTGAATGTATTATTCTTAAATAAAGATATATGATATATTCCATGAAAGACTTTTATGGAATACGTAGAAATGTTCAAGATTGCTTTAAATCAATTTTAACAAACTTGAAGAACTTTTGAAGAGCTTTTTTATAGGATAATGCTACTGTCTTATCCACGTTAAGAATGAGTAAATTAGAATCGGACCAGGTTTTGATTTTAAGTATATCAAAAGTTAGAATTGCATAAAGAGTTCCAATATTAGAGTTACTCCAGGTAATACTGGTATCATCAGCAAAAAGAAAAATTTTTCCATCGATTTTTAAGTTAGTGATGTCTAGACTTCGGCAAATATGCAAATAAAAATGTAGAAAATATGCGCATAAATATGCACGTGTTTACCCGAAAATATGCAAATATTTTACAAAATATGCATACAAATAAATAAAAAAATCGTAAAATAGTAACAATTTTATTAAAAAAAAAAAAGTGTACATAACTAAATATTTCCTACTATTCATTAAGATTTACATTTATTTTAAGTAACTACATCATTTTTAAGTATGAATAAACTTATTTAGAATTATGGTAACAATAAATGACCAAGTGGTGTTCAAAATTTTCTAACAAAAACTTGTGGCTTCTGTCTGAGTACATATATTTATATATGGAAAAACTTCGTTCAACATCAACTGATGTAACGGGAGCATTTTTCAAACTAACCAAAACATTTGGTTCTAAATTAATTGTTTCCGAAATATTTCCAGCTAGAACACTGACTACTTCAGAAAGAATATGGTAACCTTTATTTTTTTCCATAGTAGCTTCAAATTTTTTTAAAATATCTTTTCCAATATTACCTCTAACGTTCCGACAACATGACGCAAATTCTTTTATTAATGCTGTACTTTCGAACAATGACAGTTTTGGTGATTCTAACTGAGTAATTGTTTTTTGAACAAAACTAAAATTTGATTTTATAAATGAAAGTTCTTGTTGAAGCAAGTTACTCTGAAAAGTTTGTTTAGAATCCAAAAGAGATTGGGAACTTTCATCTGTTAACGTATCAATTATGTTCTTTATTTTAACAAAATGATCTGCATAAAAATTAGCTGCTTCTAACCATGTTCCCCATCGCGTTAAAATAGGTTGTGGTGGAAGAGGAATGTTAGGTAGCATTTCTTTATAAAGTTGAATTCTTATAGGAGATTTAAGAAATATCTACTTTTTTGACACTGGATATCATAGTAAGAGGAAACTTTTTTCGTATTTCCTCTGCAACTCTGTTTAATCCATGTGCTACACAAGTAACATGTCTGGGAAAAATATTTTTAAATTTTGTCCTGCTTTCACCATATAAGGAGCAGCATCCGATAAAATAAGCAGTAATTTATTAGAAGGAATAGTTGTCGGAAGAAAAAAAGTTGCTAATGTTTCTTGTATAAAACGCGAAATTGTTAAAGCATTTGTTTTCTCAAGTTGCTGGCATGAAATAAGATGAGATTTTGGTAAGGTATCTTCTTTAAGAACACCAATCAATAAATGAGCAATATACTTTCCTGAGGAATCAGTGGTTTCATCTACAGATATGTAAAAATAATTATCTGCAATTTCTTCCTTAATATTAATTAACACCAACGAGTATAGCCCGTTCACATTATTTCTTCTTAGAAACCGATCACTTGGAACATTAAGTTTGCAATATTTTTTTAGAAACGAACTAAAATTTACATTTGCTAATTTTGAAAGCGGTATGTTTGCAGACACTAATGCGCGACACAAATCTTCATTAAAAGTTTCTTGCTCATCTAATTTTTTTGAAGTAGATTGGAAACATTTAGCCATTGAAGTTTGATGTTTTCCTCCTATTTTTCCTTTTTTTGCAACGTGTGAAGCAGTTCTCACATGTTGGTCTATCTGAAATTTCTTCTCACATGCTATCTATAAATAAAAATAAAAACCTTTATTTTAACCCAACCTTTAAAATATAAAAATATACAAGGTGTTTTTGGTTAATCAAATAACTGGTATGGAAAAAAAAACACTCACTAAGTGTTTTAAATGCAGTATTAATCCACAAATTAGTTTTTGTTACTAACCATTAGTACATCATATAACTTATTTTAAAATTCAACAAAAGTTTTTTTTTTTGTTAATTCAATTACAATAAAAATAATTGTGTTTTAGAATAGCTGACTTCATAAAAAAAAGTAAAGGTGAAAAATTTTTCTAAATACACACAATTGTATTGTACCATGGACAATTTTTTCTCACTAAAGGAAGCTATTTTTCATTTAAAAACAACCTACGAGTACTAAATTTCAAGTAAATACGTTTATTGGTTTTAAAGTTATTGTTGTTATTAACTAAAAGAATTTAATTTTTTTAATTTTAACACCCTGTATCTCGAAAAGTAAATAAGTTTGACCCCTCATTAACTATATCGTTTTGTTCAATTTTTCGAGAAGTATCTACAGTCAAACGTTGTAAGTGTCATTTGGAAACACCCTGTATGTATGAAATATTAGATATTTAATAGAAAATATTAGATACTTACAATTTTGCCACAGACTGAACAGTAGATTTTTCTCATATCCATAGACAGCTCTTTATAAGGTTTAATCCAAGTTGAAGCACTGGTTGTTTTAAGCATTATAAAATCACAATCTTCCTTTTTGTTACGCACAACGAGTGTTTACGCTTTGAATATCAAAACAAAAATGATTTACAAATCTGAGCATCAAATTAGAAATGTTCAGGTACCTAATTCAATAAACTGGGAGATTTTGGAAAATCCCTAAATTAGGAACAAAACTATTAGCCGTTTACCTGCTGTTAAGATACAATAAATTGTAGATAGATTTGGGTATTAGATCATAAAATGCAAATGAGCGAACCCTTAGCGATTATCCAATAACTGAATGCCTCAGTGACCGAGACTTTCTAAGAATGTTGAGGGCTACTTAAATTGATCTTCTTTGAAATTGTAAATGTTTTGTACCTGTAGAGATTACGTACTTAGATCATTTCTTGATTAAAATGACTACAAAATTTTATACAAGAATTGAAATAAATTGGTATTTTTAAAAATTTTCAAATACATTATAAAAATCTGAACTTTTATGCACTTTATGCAAACTTTTATACAAATATGCCAAAATATGAAATATGTGCATAAAATATGTACAATATGCAAAATATGCAATATGCATATTTGCCGAAGTCTAGTGATGTCGTTTATAAAGATAAGGAAAAATAGAGGACCCAATACTGAACCTTGTGATACTTCACATACAATGCTTTTTTAGAGTCAGTATTATTTGCTCGAATAATTGTTTCCTATTCCTCAAGTAAGATTGGAACCAATTCAAAGAAATACCTAGAATTTTATAAGTCTCTCAATAATTTTGGATAGGACTGGTAGTAAGGCAATAGGTCTATAGTTGCAGACATTCGATTTTTCACCACTCTGATGAAGAAGAATAATAATAGCTGTCTTTAGACACTCTGGAAATATATATTTTTCAAAGAAATCGTGAGACCAGTGAGACCAGGACTTCCAACACATTTTTTAAAAGATTTAAGAAAATTTTTATGAAAAGTCCATCAGTACTACAGGAAGATTTGCTTTTGATACTGATGGTTTGAATCAGTCCACATTTATCAACTGGTCTTACAAATAATGAATTTGAGACTTTTTTTAAATTGGGGAGATAGGAAATAGTATCTTATTGTGACAAAATAGTTGATGGTTTATTTTTACTCACATTAACGAAGTATTCAATCAGATTTTTAGGGTTTGGAAGAGAAAATGTTTGAGCTAAGTATGTTAGTTTTATTTTAAAGATCGTTTATTATGGATCAAGCTTCTTTTACAACATTTTAAGAGCTTCCCAGACGATTCTAATAGAACATTTTCTTAGCTGTCTTGATAAGATTTAGATAGGTTTCTCTGTACCTGGAGATATATTTAATAACAAAGACGTAGGTAATAAATTTCTTGATGTACAGTAATAAAAGCATATTCTTGGCTGATATGCGGATAGCTTTGGTAGTTTGTGATGTTTTGACTTAATTGTAATTAAAGGAAATGCCTTATTGAAAATACAGACAAGCCTATTTTAAAAAATCACTGAAATTATGGTCCACGTCCACAAAGGGTAAGTGTCACCCATAAGTCAAGCAAAAATTTTGGAATTTACGAAAGTTTTGAGTAGAAAAAATCCTACCTAAACGTTGGGTTTTCGAGGATTGTTTGTTAAGAATGTTAAACTTGGTATATACTACTTCATGATGAGATAGTCCTGCAATAATAATTGTAGAGCGTACATCAAGGGATGAAAAATCGGAGACAATCAATTATGGTAGATATTGTTTTAGTAGTTCTTGTAGGAGAATAACCAAGCATTGTGAAACCATCCGTAATAGAGAAGGTATGAAACGTCGCCGTTTAAAGCGTTCTACAATATAAGATTACCGCGACTACATCAGAATATTAGTTTTAAATTTAATTTTCTTGTTTGCAAAATATACGTGCCTATATAATCTTCATTTTGGCAATGCGAAATGATATCTGTCGCACGTTGTCAGTTTTACAACAATTGTCAATTAAATGAAATCGTAGATCGTAATCGTACAATTGTATGTAGCTTCTTCAGGAGAACAAAGAAAAACTCCGTCTGCCCCAGAATTTACGGTCTTCCCAAAATCCATAAAGACAACGTACCTCTTCGTCCCATTGTGACTACGATTAACTCTCATACCTACAAACTCGCAAAGTACTTGTCGAATCAGTTTAAGACCTATACTGGTCGTACCTCTTCTTATGTCCGAAATTCCACACATTTTATCCTTAATCTCCTCCCTCACGGTCGATCCCCAAGACATTCTCGTCAGTTTCGATGTTCTTCTTCTTCTTTAAGTTCCATCTTCTATCGAAGGTTGGAAATCATCATTGCTATGCGGACTCTGTTGACTGCCGCTCTAAAAAGTTCTGCACTACTGCATTCAAACC